AATAAACTAATAATATGGAGAAATCTGTAATGATTATATTTTTAATAGTATATTATGTTATTAAATTTTTTTGTATATTGTAGGTATGTTTTATAATATGTATAACTATATAAACTAGGAATTTTTGTTTTGTTTGTTTACATTAGGCAATACAACTTATTAAAAACTACGCTATTTTATTTCACACCATTTTCACCCTTTATTTTGGTACTAGATGGATGACATTCCTTTATTGCGATAATATATTGATTTAATTAAAATCACTGGTTCTATAGAAACCACAAATAGCGCCCTTTTAAGACCTCTTTGATGAGTTTGCCCCTGCTGATAATCATCTTTATTTTTGTTTCCATTCTCTAAGGATTACGTTAGTAAACAGGAGCTTACAATAAGGAATTTTAATTACTCTTCAAGTTTTCTTTTAATACTCCGTATTAACTCCAAGTACAAAACCTATTACCTATCTAAAATACCCATTTTCTACTTTTAATGTCATACCACGTAATATTGTAATTCAAATTTCATATTATTAAAATTCCCTACTACGGTACTGTCAGGTAGAAAATTTCGATAATAAAAATTCTTCTAATCCGGCCCTGACTATTCCGCTAAATCTGAGAGAGTTAGCGCGATTCCGTCTCGCTTGGTTCTCGACCGCCACATCAAAGGCGCCGACACGGACTCTTCTAGCTGTATATAAGCTGTGGTATTAGCACAGAATGTGGCATTAGTCAGTTCCTAGAGTTAGTGTTAGTAGAATTGGTCACATTCGAAATTCTGTCAATGAAAACGTCAAAAACTTTAAATTGAAAATTAACCTTTCATTTAAAAGACAAGTTTATTAAATCTTTTGAATTAAAATTTTATCTGTAACGCGATGTTCAAATTGTAAATATAACAGTAATAATTTTTATATAAAATATTCGTAGGGTACTTTTAGTTGAAAAAATCATTGTCATGAGTGAAAACTTAGACCCAAGTATATTTTTTTGTGATAAGTGATACAATAAGATTCAAATTATGGTGTTCTGTTTTGAAAATGCTGAAACATAAATTGTTACAAGAATGAGTGATTCTTCAAGAAATTATGAGAATTTTATAGAATTAAGAAAACGGGACTCCAGTTTTATCTGGACTTCAAGAAAATTAAATCCACAATTAGCTTATTATCAAGGTATTCCTAGGCCTACACCCATATTTCACAAGCAGAATGTTCTAAATAGTCCAAGAATTCAAGAATTGTTAGATAACGTAAGTATGTTCTTAATAAGTTAAAATTTTATTTACTATATTTAAAAATAGTAAAACATGTATTTATTAATTTCTGACATGTTAATGTAAATCAATAAACATATATAAAAATGTTTTCTAATTTCTTATTTAAGTGGTAGGTACCTACTGGAACTTTGTGTATTATTACGAACTTTGACTAAGCAATCAAGATTTCATATTTTAAGGACCGATACTTTTAGTAACTGATTAAACCTCTGATTAATTAATCACTGATCTTTTATCAGTGATGTCACTTAACTATGTAACTAAACTGAAATAAACTTATTACATATTTAAAAAATTTCAATAGGAACTAAATCCGAGATTAAATCTATGTATGAATATTTATTTATTAAAAGGTAACATAGAAAAAATGCCTTAAGAAATATATTACGTATTTCTTAAAGCATATTTGGTTGCAAGAGGCCAGAGATAGAAGCTCAAGTAGACGTAACTACCTCTACAAATACTTTCTTCTATTGTCAATATCGTTATTTAAAATCTGTTTTATTTAGCTTCACTTATTTGAAAAAAACTAATATTTTTATTTTTTCAGAAATGTAATTAAACATTACATTACATACATACAAACTAAGTTTTTCTGTCCAAGGGCTGTAAGTCCATAGTGGGGGGGACGGGAAGTTTTTTTTACATGAGAGGCCTCCATAATTTTCAATGAACAATCTTAATATTTATGACATTTACTTATACCATGTATAAACAATTTTCGAAAAATTGCTAATTTTGGGTATTACTTCAATATAAACGTATGTTTTTTTTTAAAAAGAACACAACCTCTAAAATTAATTTTGAGTTATGGTTCAGTTTTATTTCAATTTATATTTTTATTTTTTAATATTGTTATATCCATTTGACCCCAACCCCATCAAATCTATATATTAAGCCAACTGGGCAAATAACTGGTTGGCTTCATTCTGGCCAAGTCTAACACTGTTTTTACAATTCGAAATTGTGTTGTACTGTAGACACATTTTATTTTAATCAGGTATAGTATTAAATTACGTTATAAATATTATTTTTGCAAGTAAAAAATTCATAGTGAATGTATCGATTGTCAAAAATGTTTTCTATATTTTTTTTATTTAAACTTTCTTCTTTAGAAAGTCCCAAGGAAAGCCCTTTTTAAACTATACATTCATTCGTAAGAATAATGTTATTAGATTCTGCATTTTTTTTTAATGAAAATCAAAACTTCGAAATTTACTCAATGTACCTAAATATAACACATCAATTTTGCAACATATTTAGTTCATATTTGATTGAGGCTCATGTCCTTCTGTTTAATGCCTTTTTAACACAAACATTTAACTGTTGCGTGCGTTTAAACTAGAATGTCTAACGTAAATTGGAATAGCTAATGCAATTTAATCTCGAAATTAATTATGTCCCCTAAGTATGTGTACAACGAAAGTCCATAGATTCCTGGCATCAAAATAGACCAATTTAGATAAATTTACCTATATCTGATTGAGAATGTCACCGTCAATTTTGATAAGATTGGGGAAAACCCTAAAATATCTACTACATGCCTAGAAAGTGAACTAACAGTTCCGAAAAGTATTGCCCACATAGTTTTAAAGGAACAGTTATTATATCCTTACTACCTCAACACGGTGCAAACCACCTGCACACCTAGCGATGTTCATAACTTTCTGCTGGTTATACGAAATAAACCCAGAACATAAATTTGAGCAAAAAGAAATATATTTAACGATAAGGGCTACCTTTACAAGAAATGACTGATCTTCTAATCTTCTATACCGATGAAAATCCGCATGCTGTTAAAGTAACGGCTTATCGACATGATTTTATTATTAATTTTTTGGGCTAGAGTTGTTTTTACTTTGCCACGAAATGCGGTGCGTCTTCAGATAACATATTACGTGATTGACAGCATTTACATGCCAAACTTAACACCCTACTATGTTTTATGGGCAGCGGGAGCCTTAAAATCAAAAGTGTATTCTCCTCTAGGTTTAAATGAAGAGCAACTATACAGGCTGTTACAAATTCGTTTCTCACTACAGGGATCTCGGAAACGGTAAGAGGTACGAAGTGGCTTAAATGGGGGCAAAGTTGCGTAATCAGGCGACCAACATTACGCCTCTAAAAAATCAAGGCTAACATGATTAGTTTTCAAAATATTTGAAAAAACCGAAATTTTGGAAATTCGTTTTGGTTTAATTTCAGCCTTGTTTGAGGTGATATTGAAAAAAGATAACTTTCTCATGGCCACTTTTTGCCCTCTATCTAGAAATTTTATTACATTTTTTGCAAACCCTCATGACCCCCAATACTGTACTGCCTCAGCCCGAACCAGATTCAGACGTTTTGTCTCGAAAAATTCATCTTCAGTGTTTTCATTCCAAATTTGTCTAAATTTTTTATTTATTTACTGAATTATTGTACACTGTAAGTGTCGTTAGACCCTGTGAAATCTATCTAGTTATTTAAACTATTACCACCACATGTTACAATTAAATATTTATTATTATTAACTATTACCATCACTTGGTCACATATCTCACTAAGTTGTTGTGTCAAAATTAAAACATTATTGCAATTTTAATTTTATTATGACAAATTAAAGCTTAAAAATGCATATGAACAACCAAAACGCTAACTGAATATTATTCTTTAAAAAATTTCAGTAAATGTTCAAAAACATTTTCGTTTTGGCAAAGGTTGAAAATGAAGATCAGCGTAATATTATCGGAATTTATTATATCTGTAACCGTAACTGTGAAAGAGGATGTCAGATGTATTTGTATGAATATCCTGAAAAAAATAGATCAAAATTTATTTGAATTTTGAGCACTCGAGAAGCCTAGAAATAACTATGGACACGGGAATAAAACTCTAATAATGTTTTATTTTAATGTGTGGTGGTAATAGTTTAAATAACTAGATGGATTTCACAGGGTCTAACGACACTTACAGTGTACGATAGTTCAATAAACAAAGAAATCTAAATAAAAAATTTAGATAAATTTGAAACGAATACACTGAAGATGAATTTTTCGAGACAAAACGTCTGACTCTGGTTCGGACTGAGGTAGTACAGTATAGAGCGTCATGAAGGCTTGCAAAAAATGTAATAACATTTCCATGGTCGTATTTAAAAAAATGAAGTTGATGACGGTCCTGGAGAGACGAAACTATACATATAAAAATTGATTATGCCATTCGATAGAGGGCAAAAAGTGACCATGAGAAAGTGTTCGTCTTTTTTCAATATCGCCTCAAATAAGGCTCAAATTAAACAAAAATGGATTTCCAAAATATCGTTTTTTTTCAAATATTTCGAAAACTTATCATGTTATCCTTGATTTTTTAGAGGCATAATGTTGGTCCCCTAATTACGCAACATTGCCCCTATTTAAGCTAGTTTGTATCTCTTACCGTTTTCAAGATCCCTGTAGTGAGAAGCGAATTTGTAACAGCCTGTATAGGCGAATTATAAATGCAAAAAACACTTTAAGAAATAATGTAGAAATCGTGGATTTATTCCACTTTAAAATTTTTTAGGAAGAGTTTTTTGCACATAAGAAAGCGGCGGCCATTTTGAACAACTTTTATATTTTATTTTTATCATTAAAGTGATTATTAAAATATTTTCCAGTTTTCACAATTTCACCTCTGCATTAATTGTGTGAGTGGTGGAAGTTGTACTTCTACTACTGAATATTTTTAGAACAAACTCAGTTTTAGCATGTCCAATTCAACTCAGTTTTGCACGACAAACAATTCAACTTCTCAGTTTTGCACAGACAAATACAAAATCCGTGCTTACTAGCCATTTATTAAATATTGTAGTATGAATGGCACGGCATGTAGACATTTAAAAATTATTTTTTGTACCTAAATCGCTCTTTAATGAAAATTGTACAAGAGCCAAAAAAACGTTGGAATAGTATCAGCTACCAACCGATAAATATTTGTCATTATTGCATAAATGGGAAAAAAAGTTAGAGATGGATATTTTCAACATGCATTGATTTTCTAACCGTTGTAAGTTTTAAAAACCACTCTGTATAATATCAAAATGTGTCAATCAATATCGATTAATACATTGAATTGTTGAAATTTTTAAAAAGTTCAGACATTCTGCAGGAACGTTTAGGCCATTTAGCGCCCTAATAAATGGTTTTTAGAGATATGTGAATTAACCTAAATTCGCCTATTTTGAGTACAGGAATATGCAGTTTCTCTTTGTAAACATGTACAGTGCAACTTCGACAATCCGGACACATATAGTTTTAGGGTCGGTCGGATTGAGTTTTCCGGACTATAGTAGGTGAAAATATTGAAATAATCTAAGTGAATTAAATTGTATGTACATACATGCATTGTACATACTATGATTTATTAAAAAACAATAAATTATTATATTTAATTATTATATTAAATTATTAAAATATGTAATCTAAGTAAATTAAATACATATGTACATACATATGTACATATATACTACATAAAAGAATTTGGCCTTTGCTTTTAAAATTTCTGAGGAAATCGGGATATGATTGTTTCTTTGTTGCAAAAACCATGTATAAAGCGCTTCCTCTAACTCTGGATTTTCTGCTTTTTTCATAACTTTTCTATTTCCTAAAAAAAAATTATACATATTAAGAAAATGGTTTATTACATTATTCTGGTTCAAATGTTACCGGGTCCATTATAGGTATTCGAAATAAATTGTTTTATCTTCTTATTTTTTTTAATGTCGCAAATCGTTGATTTAGGAACATGGAATTTTTCGGCAACCTGCCTAATAGTTTTTCCCTCATCAAGACTGTAAAATATCACACTTTTCCTTTAAGGTTAGTGTTTTATGTTTGCGTTTATTATTTAAAAACATGGCACTTGGAATGGAATTAGACAAATTGTCCGAAATGTAGAAGCGTCCGAATTATTGGAGTGACCGGACTGGCGCATGTCCGGACTGTCGAAGTTGTACTGTACTTATGAAACACACTGTACGTGTAAATACAATTTTATAGATAAATATGATACACATTGCACACTTCTGGTTAACTATCCAATCAGTAATACATTAATATAGTGCATGTCATCAACACTATACATATTTATTATGAATATTGATTATTAAATATTGTATATGTATTTGCATGAAGGTTATTTCAAAGTTGAGATTGTTTTTTTCCTGCAAATAATCAAAAATGAAATGAAATTGAAATAAAGTAAGATAGCCAAATAAAACCTGACTCTAATAAGGCCAACATTTTGAAAATTCTGTTGGACAATTTTCAATTACAATGTATAGGTACAAATTTTGTATGCATACGATATGTAAAGAAATATATAGACCTACTGAAATCTAGCATAGCATTTATGGGCAACACATCGTCTTTACTAAGTAGAAATTGCAACTTAACTTTGTATTTAAATTTTGAAACAGGAATTTCTTTTTCAGTCACAGATTTTCAAGCAATTGCAAGCAATTTTTTTTTTGTTTAATTTCATTTAATTAATGCAAAAAATTTCTCCTTAAAGTTTGTGTCTTTATTGTCTTTATATTCCACCTCAATGGAAAAATCACAGTTAAAAAATATTTTCATTCACGTCCATTAATCCATTGATCCTTATGTGATCTATTTTTTTTAGATAAGCAAAAAACAAAATGTTTCAAAATTGGTACTGGAGGAGAAAGTTTTATCAGTATTAGATGAAATTGGATATAACAAGAATTTGAAGGTTATCAGATGGTTGGGTTTGGTTTTAGTTGAAATTTGTTTAAGAATGTCTACTGGAATATATGTAAATGTTGACAATTTGTTAAAAGTAAGTACACATATTGAAAATATGTTCTGAATATCTGAGAGACCAGTATATTGTACAGAGCTTTCATAAATGTTTACAAGCCACGTGACTGTCGAGCTTAGGCAACCCAACATTACACGATTGGTATTGGTAACGAAAATTCCCTAAATCTTGGCTTCACCAATATTAATAACTCGTTTACAATGACAAATCGTTATGCCTACGCTCGAGATGATGCAATCATTGATTGGTTGAATAGAATCTCGTGAAAAATTATACCTATCACAGCTGACGAAACAGAATGTTGTGTTTTAATGTGATCTTGATTGTATTGTTTTAATAATTTTTAATTTTACCAAATTTAATTGCCAACGTGAATGAAATAAAATTACTGTTCCAAACAAAATTACTGGTCACGTGGCTTGTAATCATTTATGCTCTGTAGTTCCTATAAGTAGAATGTTAAATGTTTTTTTAGTTGAAAACAGAAATGGGAAATTGTCCGGTGATATTTGTTCCTAGTCACAGAAGCTATGCTGATTTTATATTAATGTCGTATCTTTGCTTCACGTATGACATAGAAATTCCTGCAATAGCTGCGGGAATGGGTATGAAAATTTGTGTTATTTGTTGTATTTTATTCATCATGTTTTTACTCTCCTTTTTAGATTTTCATGGTATGTGGGGAATGGGCAATATGTTAAGGGATACAGGAGCATTTTTTATGAGACGGTCTTACAATGACGATGATTTGTATTGGGCAGTTTTTAAACAGTACATATATCAGTTAGTTACAAAGGGGGACCTACCTATAGAATTTTTTATTGAGGGTACAAGAAGTAGAAGTAATAAATCCTTGATACCAAAATACGGTAATTTGATAAATTAATTTATTTTTTTAACCAAATTAAAAATGAAGTGGTAGTGAGTTACAGTATTGAATTAACTCGATCTAAAAAAAATAGTGCAAAAATTCTAATAAATTCCAGGTTTGATATCAATGATTTTGAAAGCATTCTTTTTCGGTGAAGTACCTGATATAAAATTTGTTCCAATTAACATTAGTTATGACAGAATCCTCGAAGAAAGTTTGTTTGCTTTTGAATTACTTGGAGTTCCAAAACCCAAAGAGAGCACATCGGTAAGATAAAGTAGTATAAATTATATTAAATTTTCATTTTTTTTTAAATACTGCAATAAAATTGAAGCACTATAAAAATGGCCCAGAATTCTAAGTTGATATCCATGACTACTACTTTGACTATGATGCTCTTTTTTTAAATTGGTTTGTATACATATATTTTTTTTATAGAAATTTCAGTTTGCTGTATACACAGGATGCAAGTTTTTTTTTAAATTTGAAACATTCTGATATAAACAATTTGTTTTTCGGTTAATTTCATTGTCTGTAAATAATGAAAAAGTTGATAATTTAGAAATCATCAGAAATCACCCTTTGAAGAGATTTTGAAAATATGCTAGCAGAAATGTTAACTAACAATGATCAAAAAATGTTAATGTTTGGTTTCAAGTATAAATCATTGATATGAATCAGTTATTAGAAATGAAAGATTTTTTCTTTGATTTTGTCTTCTCGTCACTGTTTTTTTATTGTCATGTCTGTTTTAAGTTTTATAATTTTTTAGATACATTGATGTGGTTTAACTGCGTTCCTCAATTAATATTAGAGCGATTCAAAAAATAAGTTGTTCAATGTAGATTATTACCAAGTAGACATTCTTGCAAAAAAAACTTTTTGCATCTTGTAAGTGCTGAAAACTGAAATTTCATTAAAAAATTTTATCGTAATGAGAAAATTAACTTTGAAATAGGGGTCAATTTTTAGTGGCATGTTGATTTTGATGTAATGTGTATTTTTAGGGATTTTTCAAATCGCTGAAGGTAATAAAGGAAAACTTTGGGAAAATTTATTTTCATTTCGGTCAGCCAATATCAGCTAAAAGGTTTTTTGGTGACAAACTAGAGAGGTCAGTGCACAATATGGGTCCACTACATGTACAAGAAATGACAGAAAAAGAAAAAGCTGTTATACCTTCCCTGGCACATACGATAGTACATACTCAGCAAAAATGTGGTGTAATAAATGTGTTCAATTTAGTAGCTCTAATTTTAAATGACAATCTGGTTAATAGTAAAGAATTATTAACCGTGAAGGAACTGATCGAAGAAGTATATTGGCTAAAAGATGTGATACAAAAATTAGGAGCATTTGTGTATACAGAAAATATTGAAAACAGTGTTGATGAATGTTTCGTCGTACACAAAAATTTAATAGAAGTACAGCCAAATAATAGAATTCGTTTGGTGCACAATAATATTATTTTGGACAAAATTCACTCGTCTAAGCTTAAAGCTCATTCATTGTCAGAAAAATGTATGACATTTTCTGTACCTTTTGTTATGCTGCAGATGTACATTAATCCTTCTCTACATTATTTCCTAGATGTAGCATTAATTGTAGTAATTTTGAAATATCAGCAGGATTTGGACGCAGGTGAGTTTTTTGCTAATAACCGTTTCAAGGTTTTGCTTTTAAATGCAATAAAATACAGGATCATATGTAAAAGTATTATATTTAACTGTAACTTTCCTGTGTTTGAAGATATGAGAAAAGTAAAAGATTCTTTATTCACTAACATCAGGCAATTCATTTTTGTCAAGAAAATAATTGAGCAATATATAGATACCAATTTTTTTTATTATGGAATACTGTGTATATATTATATATTCTTTTAGAACACTCTCTAAATTACAGTGATATAAAATTTCATAGCCAAAAGAACCTGCTGTAGCTGCAGTGTGTTAGAAAACAAATTTGGTTGCCTTCTAGTTTAATCTGTTTAATAACTAACAATAATATCTCTTTCTAATATATTACACTTGCGACACATGCTTTTGTTTCTGTCTCATATTATTATTATTAGACCACCCACATAAACATAATTAGCTGAATTTCCATAAAGGATTCTGTAGTTACTAAGTTTGTTGCCATAACAAACTGGTACTTTCACTGTTACTTTTTAGAAAAATAAATCACATTGTAAATATCATTTTAATTTTAACACAGAAAATGGTCACATTTCAATCATTGATGGCTTGAAAATGAAAGTGGTTGTATTTTGATAATAAAGCACGGGGATGATTTTTAAGCCCGTGACGAAAAAATTTTGAAAAAATTGTCGAAAAAATTGGTGGTTGACCCTGAGAATTCGAAATATATTATTTTTCATAATCGACTGACATGTGCGATACTTTTTGAGATCTCAGGGTAGGCCAAGTCTATTTTAATTTTTTTTTGTAAATTTCAATCGAAATATTTGCGTCATAAAAGTTCTTACTCCTTAAAAAACACTACAGAACAGACTAGAAATATCACTGGTGTTGCAATTTAGTAGATAATGTCCTGAAAAACAATATATAAAATAGACAGGTTTCCTTAAGAAAAACTCACATCGGTGTCTACATTTCTGGAATAAGATGTTACTCGATTTTTTTTGACAATAAATCATATTTACATTTTCACTACATTCAGAAACAACAATGTTTTAGTCAGAACTAATATTACGATTATTCTATACGTGTGTAATATTTAAAATATATTTTGAGTTGATATACCTTGCAACCTCAGTAGCTGAAAATCATGCTGTAATTTATTTAGTCCATTTATGGTACTTTAAATATGGTGCCCCCAAACAAAAAAAAAATATTGTTGAAATATATGTTTTTAAACTCCTCATATATTTTATAATATAGGGGGTAACATTACAGTGCCTCAAAAATGGAACATATTCCTGCCTCAAATTTAGGAACATTTTCTTACATAAGTACTTGCTTTTGGAACTCTGGTTTTTGAAATATAGGGTGTTACAGGTGTCTTTTGAAAATTTTTTTGTTGGTTTTGAAACTGGAAAATGCTATTTTTGCTAATTTGTACTAAAACTATGAAAAATTAAAGAGATCATTTTAGTTCTAAATAAAATTTGCACAAAAATGACAAAAGAATATTTTGTTCCAGTGGCTTGCCACAATTTTTGAGGAAAATATAACCTTCATATCTCTCATCTATGCCAGTGGTTTGAACTGTGACTTAATTTTTATAATAAGAATTAAGAATATGTACAAGGAATGAATTTTTTATTGATTTTAAGACATAAAGTTAATACAGACTAATGTTTTTTTTGTGTTAAAAATTAACAAAATTAAATATTTTCCTGTTTATTTTCAGTTTAGTAACAGCTACTTAATTAAAATTTGGAACACCTTAATAGACTTTTTTAAGACTACAATTATTAATTTATTTTGTTGTAATTATTAATTTATTTTTAATTCAATCATGAGCTTAGATGTGAGTAATCTTGTGTAGCTAAGGCAATTAAAAATACACAAAAAATGCCTTCTTAATTTTTGGTGACGCCAAAAATTTCTTAATTCCGTTTTTATGCACATTTCTGGACAAATTTAAATGAGAGTTCAAATTGCTCACAGTTGCTCAACAAAAATTATTACGAGATAGGCTTTATGAAAGTAAATTTATGAATATGTGTTAGAAAGCATTTAATTTCTGAGATACAGGATATTGAAGCTGTGATAGATATTTTTATGCATTTAATTAATAATAGCGATTTCGACAAATAAAAATTAAAACATTTCTTAATATTGCAACCACCTATTTGTCTCATCATCAAAGTATAGACGAAAATACTTGAAAATTTTTGACATGTCGTTGAATTGCACCCTTTATAAAGTAATATTTCATTACTTTACTTTGCAAATATTGTTGATAACTGTCATGTATATATATTTTTCCAATAAGCATTTTTTTACAATTATTATTTATATAGATTTTATTTTCATTTATTGACATGAAGAAATCAAAATGAAAATGAAATGGAATGATTTACAGTTACTAAGATTACACTACAGGGTGTTCGGAAATAGTGGTACTTCCCTTTGAGGGTAGATTTGTCGACTCAAAATAAGACAAAAATTTCATATAAACATGGGTCCGCAAATCCATCTTACGGGAGGTAGACGTGTTTGAAGATAACTTTAAATAAATGGGTTTTTGCCAATAACTTTTAACTGCTTTGAAGGGGAGGAATAAGTTTTGGACGATAAGTTACTACTAAGAAACATGATTATTTGAGGGTATTAGTTGATCCAGGATATAACCCACATTTTTATAAAAAAAATTCAGTTAATAATTATATTATTTAAATAATTCTTTGCACTTTAGTAGTAACTTTTCACCACCAATTTTTTTTTTTTAATAAAAATGTCACCTCCCTAGTTTGCACGTCATGGGTTATAACCTGAATCAACTAATACTCTCAAATAATCATGTTCCTTAGTACTAACTTATCGTTCAAAACTTACCCCTCTCTTTTAAAGCAGTTAAAAGTTATTGGCAAAAACCCATTTATTTAAAGACATCCTCAAACGTGTCTACCTCTCGTAGGGTGAATTTGCGGACCCATGTTTATATGAAATTATTGTTTTATTTTGAGTCGACAAATCTACCCTCAAAGGGATGTATCACTATTTCCGAACACCCTGTATATTGTATAATTATATTAACTATTTGTTAAAATATTTAATTAAATTGCATGTTTATTTCACGTAAGAATGCACGTGTTTGTCAAATTAACAAATTGTTTCTTCTCTTTTTTAGAAGAATTATTTAATAAATACCACTTCCTCAGATCCTTGTTCTCAGTGGAATTTGTTACTATTCTACCTTGGGTGAAAATGGTGGGGCACATTTCTTATTTTTTAATTTTGTATTCATTGTATGCACTGCTTTTCAATAACGTGTATGTCAACGCAGAGTCAAGGAATATTTGTAGAATAAATGTATATTTTAAAGTGTGCATACATTGCATAGTGATAAGTGTCTTGATTGTTTAAATTTACATATATTTTTATAAGGGTGGTAATTTTAGACACATTTTATTGAATATTATTGTCATTTTAGGAGTTTCACAATGCTTTGCAGTACTCAACGGTGCTAAATTTAATACAACTTACCTCTGCTAATTCATACATATTAGGAAATAATGGGAAATTAGAAAATTTCTTGTGTACTATGCTTGAACCTTTCATGCTTTCATATTACATCGCAGTTGTTGTGCTAGAGGTAAATATATTTTGTTTTGGATGTTATCAGTCCCAAACATAATATTAATTAATCTTTCAGGAATCTCCAGTAATAATTGATGAAGAAACTGTTTTAGTAAATTCACAAAAAATCCTGGAAGATAAAATTAATAATGGAAATGAATTTGTTCATCCTTACTCTCTAAATTTAGACAGTCTAACAAATTGTTTAAATGTATTGGTAACATTAGGAGCTTTAAGCAAGACTAGAAGGTATATTTAACATATTTTATGAAATTGTGGTATCATTTACTTAAAAATTTTTATAAATTATTATTTTACTTAATTATAAATACCACTATGTTAATGCCAGTACGTGAATATTTTTTAGCCGCAATAAGATAACATATGAAATTAGAAGACAGGAGATTGTGCCAATAAAGGAAAAATTAAGTAATAACTATTCAATATAGATGATGTTATTTTTATCAATCAATGTATTTTCAGGAAATTACATGTCCTACTGTTGCAGTGAAGATAGTTGTATTAAGATGAAATACTTGAAGAATAAATTATAACAAAAGTATTATTTACAGTATAATTGTATTAGAAGAGATATTATAATACATCTAACTTGTGCCATTAGTGTGGAAAAGGTAGTGTTTGTTTTTGTTAATATTTTTTGTATTATGTGGTTTTATATATAACTATAAAAATGTTTTTTTTTTGTACTTGATATTGGTTATACAAAGATATTGTTTTTAATAAAGTTTTCTTTGCAAATCATTTATTATTAAGTATAATAGTAACCTTGAATATGATCAGTACTAATACCACAGACTAATACTATTCCAGATAAAATTTGTTGAAACTTGAAATGGTACTGACGTAATCTTTAGAGAAAAAAAAAGAAAAAGCTGTGATATAACTACATGGAAACACCGAGTGTTAAAAATTGTAGAACCTGTAGAGAGAATGAGCGATACTTTGGGTACTCACTATCTCTCCCTCTATAATCATTGTGTTGCGTTGGGCAATCATGCCTTCACGAAAGAGAAAGATGGGGCCCAAATTACCTGTTTCTCTCTCTCTGTTACTCGTCTACATTGTCACCGTAAGCATGCTTCCTTCATGTAATATATGCTCTAAGCTCAGTTCACCTTCCGACCCAATCACTCCACTGAACTCCAAATCCTTCGCCTTACCGAGCACATCACGGCGGCCTTCAACAGGGGACAGTACACTGGTGCTGTCTTC